AGTAACAGTAGCTAATCTATTAACTGCTGTGGAAGGGGGTTAACCTTGGTAGGCAATGGTGGTGAACAACTCCCATGATCCAAAAACTTTTCTTATAGTTTGGATGTGAGAGACCCCCAAGCAACATAAATTAGGCAATGGATGTTTAAATGGACTCGTTACTTTTGTCTTACCTGAAAATAGTGGACAGCTGCTTGATTCTTACAGTGGAGCATAACAGTTCAGGCAGTGTGAGCTAAGCTTTATTAACTAGCTACTGTTGCAAAGCTCGGTTAATGTGTGCATCTGTGTGGGTCTTCTTCTACTACATCCTCCTGTCTGCTCATAGATATATGCTGTCTGCTAACCAAGATAATAAGTGTGGCTACTTGTTGCTGTCCTCTGGTGGTCGGGAGGATTAATAACTAGATACATTTGTCCCACAGCAGTACTAAAACATGTGTGTGCATTAATAAGAGAACAATTGGTAAAGTAATTCCATTACTTTTGAGAGAAGTAACTAGTAACTGTAGCTAATTACACATTTTCAGCAGCACAAGCAATTGTTTTTACCCATTAAAAAGATGAATGACATCTAGACTTATCGGTCCGTGCTTTTAAAATTGAATAAATATATGGATATTCTCAATCAACACAGCTTCTGTGTATAAGCATGGTAGTCATCTTCTTCATGCACATTTTCTTTAAAGTTTTTCAGTGTGTCCTCTGTGTTGACCCTTGTTACCTCACCTGAGGACAGAGTCACTCCAGCTTTACGAGAGCCAACGGGCATTTATCTGACACTAACAAGGCCTGTATTTATTTGGCCACTGATACGAACCATTGGACAGTCAATGGCTGTGTAAGGTCAAGGGAGTGGAGTGATTAGAGGGACTTTGGAATGCATTAACAAAGTCTCATGACTGACAACTAGCTGCTCTGTCACCATCAATCATAGCTCCTGAGCAGGCCTCATCATTGGAGGAAGACAGTGGCTTTATTTATGTGAGCAGTAACACATGCCCTTCCTGTCCATGCCTCAGGTGTGACGAGTGTCGGCTCTGCTATCACTTTGGGTGTCTGGACCCCCCGCTGAAGAAATCTCCCAAGCAGACAGGATATGGCTGGATCTGCCAAGAGTGTGACACATCCTCCTCTAAGGTAAGTGCCTGCTGTATGTGTGTGCAAGCAATAAAGAGGGGGAGGGTGGTGGGGGATGGGGTTGATTTGGGGTAGGAATGACTTGTTTGATAAGATATCAGTATGTACGTTTAGGCTTGATGTTTGTTTTAACTTACCAATGAGAGGGCTCTCATTTAACATTAACGTTTGTTTTTCGTCAGTGATTGTGCCTCCTATGTTGGGGATTGATACCAACTGGAATTGTTGGTACTGTCATTTGATCAATGCAATAACATAACATTATGACCAACATTATGCAGTCCCATACCAACAGACTGTGATTCACTGTGTGTTCTGACTCCTTTCTATCAGAACCAGCATTAACTGTTTCAGCAGTTTAAGGTACAGTAGCTCGTCTGTTGGATCGGACCACACGGGTCAGCCTTCACTCCCCACGTGCATCAGTGAGCCTTGGCCCCACCCATGACCCTTTCTCCGGTTCTTTTCCTTCCTTGGAACACTTTTGATAGGCACTGACCTCTGCAGACCGGGAACACCCCACAAGAGCTGCAAGTTTGGAGATGCTCTGACCCAGTCGTCTAGCCATCACAATGTGGCCCTTGTCAAAGTCTCTCAGATCCTCACGCTGCCCATTTTTCCTGCTTCTAACACATCAACTCTGAGGACAAAATGTTCACTTCAGGAGCCATGATATCCAGATAATCAGTGTTATTCACTTCACCTGTCAGTGCTCACAATGTTATGGCTGATGGGTGTATGTGTGGGACAGGCTTTAATAGTTTGTTATTCCAAGATGGACATTGGTGTTGACAACCTTGTTGTCAAACCATATAAATAGCTTCAGTTAGGTATTTAGCTATAGCTTTTTGTCATATCTATTATAGAATCCACTGCATCAAGACGAAAACAACCAAGCTCCCTTACAGCAATGTTTTGATGAGTGGCTCCTTGATTTGTTTGGATCCTATGCTTACACACAACAGCATATGGGTGATGTCATACATGTTCCTTCAGACGATTTTATGACTTTACTCTCATTGAAGGTTGGTATCTGTAATGCCCAAAAACATATCAAAGAGAAAAAGAAGACTGTGGTTAACAGTGCAAGTTTGAAAATATTCCACAAATTTTGTAATTGTTTTATGGAGATAGAAATGTATGCAACACATTTGTTAGGCTTCAAGGATACACACAATGAATGCAAACAGAACAGTGTGTGTTCACAGGAGGACTCCTCTGGGGGAACTCACTGTTATTGTTATATTGCTATAATCTCTGCATAACAATTTCATTAGGGACCGAGCCAGCGACCGCTGGAGGTCCCTATTGTATTTGCTATGTTTCTTCTTCCCTATTTTTAGCACTTTTGATTGCGTTTTTGCCCCTCTGAACATATACGAAAAGTCAATTTTATTTGACAAAGTGGTCAGGCCTGGTGAAAAATTTGATATTCTATGTGTTGCTTTCGGGTCCGCCACTAGGTGGGGCTACTATCATGAAAAGTGCGTTTAGGCTAATAACTCCTGCATCGTTTGTCACACATTCAAAAACCTTATATCCACGCGTTCAGTGAATAGAGCTGAATCTCCCAATATAGGCCACGCCCACTTCCGCCTGGAATTTTTTTCCAGCAGAGTGCGAAATGTCCATGAACTACTTTTTCATGTTCCTCCTATGTGCTTTGTCCGATTCGCACAAAAATTTTCACGTAGCATCTGGGGACCGTCCTAACAAAAAAGTAATTCAAACAATTTTGATATTTCAAAAAATAAGCACGTTATAGAATTAGCACTCCCTGTAAATTTTTCGTCAACAAAGGAAGCGGACCATTTCTCCACATTGGTATGTCCGATTAACACCAAACTTGGGTCCATAGTTCCTCATGTCTTCCTTAAGCATTGTGCACAATTTCAGGCCATTGCCACTAGGTGGCGCTCTTTAAAATGAAGAAGTTTATATCTCTACAACGGTATGTGTGATTAACATGAAACTTGGTACGATGCTTCCCCATGGCTCCCTGAGGCTCGCTAATAAATGTGAGGCAGGATAAATCACTGTGCGGAGACCGTAATAGTTATGAATATGAAATTCACAGGGCGCGTGTAGAGTGGTGCCTGAAGTTTACATACCAAAAATCGTGTTTGTAGCGCCCCCTACAGGATAAAAAAACAGCAGCCCCGGCGCCACATTTCACCGTTATGTACGAAACTCGGTGGGCACGTGTAACATGCCGGGACGTACAAAAAAGCCTCTTGGACCCATACCCGAAACCCCACAGGAAGTCGGCCATTTTGATTTTCATTTTCACTTTCGGCGGACTTCGCGTTGTATTTGAACGAACTCCTCTTAGGGAATTTATCGGATATGCTTCAAAATTTGTGAGTACAGTTAAAAAATGGTTCTGATTAAAAGTTCTGCTATTTGTGCATGTACGTTGAAGGGCGTGTCTGTGGTGTGCCCTCAAAGTTGGCCATAGTGAATTCCGTGCGCATTTTCGGTGAATTTTTCGCCTTGTATTTGAACGAACTCTTCCTAGGGAATTTATCGGATCTACTTGAAAATTGGTCAGTACAGTCAAAAAATGGTGCTGATTAAAAGTTGTGCTATTTGTGCATGTACATTAAAGGGCTTGTCCGTGGCGTGCCATCAAAGTCAGCCGTTTTGATTTTTTTGGTCATTTTCTGTGATTTTTCGCGTTGTATTTGAATGAACTCCTCCTAGGGAATTTATCGGATCTACTTCAAAATTGGTCAGTCCAGACAAAAAATGGTCCTGATTAAAAGTTGTGCTATTTGTGCTTGTACGTTGAAGGGCGTGTCCCTGGCGTGCCGTCAAAGTTGGCCACTTTGAATTCTGTGGTCATACAAACTGATTGAAAAGTTGAGCTATTTGTGACTGTATATCAAACCACATGCCAGTGACAACTTGTCAATTTCAGCAGATTCGCCATAAAATAGTACTCATAACTTCAGTGTGCAATGTCCACTCTCCAATAAACTTCATATATTCTGAAGCAGTTTTGCCCTGAACACGTCCTCATAACTTCAGCGTATGTGGTCCAATCTCAATGAAACTTCACGTGTTTGATAACACTCTCGCCTTGAACACATCTATATGACAACATTCAGACATAGCGATAGTGCCACCTACTGGCAACAGGAAGTAAGCGCTGCGTGGCGATTTTGAGCTGAGTTACGTGAAATGACCGTGCCAATTCAATTCAGTTCAATTCAATTCAATTTTTATTTGTATAGCACCAATTCATAACAGAAGTTATCTCAGGACACTTTTCAAATAGAGCAGGTCTAGACCAAACTCTTTATAACATTAATTACAGAGACCCAACAGTACCACCATGAGCAAGCACTTGGTGACAAGGGCAAGGAAAAACTGCCTGTTAAAAGGCAGAAACCTAGGACAGGCACCTAGGCAATTTTGAGCTGATTTACGTGAAATTTCATGTTTTGGTCCGCACATGTTACGACGGCACACGATGCGGCCGTAGAACGCCCCGAGTTGCGTGGAGTGCGAGGTCCCGCCCAACGCTGCTTGCATCTTTAATTTTTTTTATTTTTCTTTAGTTGTTTCTTTGTTTTTTATAAATGATATTGCAATAAAGGGTAACATATGGCCACCTCTCAACCTAATTGATAAATGTATCCCCATTTTAATTTCTCTAGAAACTAGTAGTATGACCCCCCATGCTCCATCTATGTGGAAAATCAGGACTGATTGACGCTGCTGCAGAGGAAGTAAATTATAAAAGCCATAGTGAAAATGCTGAATCACAGGAACGAAACAGTCAATTATCAGGAAGAAAAAAAGTTTAAAGCTCTCTTCAATGTTAAGTGGTCCCGATATACATATATATGTTTTTTTTTTTAAATGTGTTTTACAGTGCACCTTTTGTATGTTTTTACATTCATATAAATATTCATACATAGATTTATTCTTCTAACTAGCTAGCTTTTAAACATTTTTTATTGGGGTTTTTTGCACCGATATACAGCACTTGTATCAATGAGAAATACAATTGCCTTTTATGTACATAAAACAAACAAAAAAAGGAACCTTCACAGTGCTACACCTTACCAGAATCTCCAGAATTAAAGCTACAGTAGGTAACTTTTATAAAAGTCCTAAGGCTCCTCCTAGTGCTCCTAATGGTATTTGCAAGAACCCACCGGGCCTGAATGAAAACAACCAATCAGAGCCGAGAAAGATAGTTGATTGTTGAGTCTCATTCCCAGGGGATCAAATACAGATGCTTTGTCTGTTGGATTTTTGCAAATGCCATTAGGAGCACTAGGAGGAGCCAGAGGAACCTGATTTTTTCCACAGATTATCTGTCTCGTGTACTACTGTCAGGATATAGGGAAAGTTTCAGAAATAATGACAAAAAGTTGTTTTTATCAAAGTTACCTACTGCAGCTTTAAATTATTAGTTAAGGATATCTGAAAACATATTCGTATTCATACCGTACTCAAGAAAGGGGCCCCAGACGTTGTCAGATGCATTGGACCTTCCTTGGAGAGACAGTAAAGCACGTCCCAAATGTGACGGGGGTGCAGGAGATTTCCGTTTTATCAGGAACAGTCTTGATCTGTGTTTTTTGGCATAATTGTCCTGTAGTCTTAACACAAACAATAAACACAAGAAGAAAAGCTGAATATGAGCATTAGTCCAGGCAGCATGTTTGGCTATCAGATGTGAACATCTGTCTTCTTATATCCGTAAAGGGATTTGAGGTTAGTTCCAGTCCACTGGGATTCCACTCTAACTTCTAATGAACCTCAGCATCATTCTACTGAGAAAAAACAAGTTTTTAGACATCTTGATGGATTTATATTTTTAGTCTTAGTTTCTGTTGATGATTGAAATTCACTTCATTCAGTTAGTAAATTATATTTGTTGTCACTTTATTATTCAAATAGATCATCTGATGAAGTAATTTAGTCCTCAGGACAAAACAATGATGTTGCCTTGTACTCTATACATACACTACATACAACCAACAGTCAACTCTCATACAGATTTTGTAGAACTCTAGATAGATAGATAACTCGTTGTCAGTTGTAAACATAGACTGTATAATTAAAAATGGCCATAGTCTTCTTGACGTCACTCATAGGTAAGAGCCATTATGAAGCTCAGTGTGGCCAATCCAAAACGAGCAAAGAAATGAAGTGTGGGTGGAGCTAAGACGGTCTGAATAATGCCTGGTTACTGAAAACAGCCACCTGTGGAAACCCGCATGTCATTCAAAGTGGTAACACCATTAATTATGCATAGGGGAGTTCTATACAAATTCACCCCCTGTACAGTTGTCATGAATGGGAAATTAGCTATAGAGACCAAAAGTGTTTTTGGTACCAGGCTGTAAACATGTTTATTTCTGCTGTAAAGTTGGACATTTTAATATAGGTCACTTCTGGAGTCAGCCTTAGGTGGAACTGTAGCTTGTGTTATTTCCATGTTTGCTTCATTTGCCAGCTTGGTTGTATTTGGAAAATCCTCAAGAGATAGTGTGGCAATGAAGTGAAACAAAATGGTAATACAGTCTGATATCAGCTTAATATCAAGCTTATAGCCCTTCTGTGTAGAATGTTTTATTTTTTTTTACTTTGGCAGTATGCTGCTACCTCCCCCACATTGATCCAACCCAAAAAGCAAAACATAGACTGCACAAAATTTAACCAGGATTGTTTCTCGACAAAACTTCATCCAGATAAAGTAGTTGGTAGATGCAATAATTACAAATTCTACACACGATGGCTGCCTTAAATGGTTTTTTAACAGGCTGTGCAGGGGATGGGTCAAGGACTCCAGTCATTTGACTTTATGTCAACATTCAAAATATACTCATCATGTGTATCAAAATCCAAAATGGCAGTATACGTGAACAAAAATGTTGTCTGTGAGGTAAACATTATGTTTCATGTTTAATATATTTTGGGTGGACTTGGTTTCAGACAATGATTTTATGATGTTCTTGTTGAAAAGTAATGAATGGAAACTAAAGGAAATATCACAAGGTAAACAAAATATCAGAATTCTTCAACTACTACTGCCACCTCACACTACTTCAACCTTTGCTTCTAAGAATGAACAAATCTTATTCTCATGGCCACAAAAGAGTGCTTGTCAGGGAAATCTTGTTTGAATAATCAACCAATGCTACCGGTATGGACAAGACAAATATAGTGAGTATTAAGCCATTCTCTGTGGCTTTTTTACATCAACTCTGTGTGTCATCTCCCTGGTTCTGCCATCTCTTTGACTTTGGTATCATTCCCTCTGGAGTATCTTGTCCTTATGAAGTTGCTCCCATCTTCCTCCTACTCCCTCCTACTTGTTAACATCAAATGGGAGAACCTCTAGCTTTGGCTCTCTCTGCCCTAGAGCAGGGCGACATTTCACTGGTGACAGGAGAATAACACTTGCTGTGTTGACGTGACGAATTAGTGTGAGCGTTTACTATATAACTGTAAGCCTGTTCAAAGCTTTGATTATAGCAATCTGTTTATGATCTACTACGGGAAGTCAGCTCATAAAAATACACAAGGGGTGCATGGTATCCGATTCTGAAGCATTTTCACGATTTGATTTGAGTTCAGCCGACACATTGAAGAGGCATGTTTAAGCAACAAATGGATGAAAGAAGCCAACACGTGTACACCATTAATAATATTGCAGGGTGTACATTTTGAGAGGCAGTCAAGAATCTGACATTTTTGAGAAAGCATGATGTACAGACCTTTTAAGGCGCAAGGTGCTCAGAGTGTCTCAGTAATAGCAAGTGTGGGGAGATAATTGACTCCACTAAGGGCATCTAAAAAGCACTCTGAGATGAGAGCTGTATTTAAGGAAAGTTTTATTATCTGCTTTTAAATGCCAAGCCATGCACCGTTTTTGCCTGTGGGGGGGGGGATGTTTTTTAAATGCCAGCATTAAGTGCAGAATATTACCTGATCGCTGCGACTGACTTTCAGCTGCTGGCAAAGATAGCTTGCGGTCAACTCCTCTGCCTGACCGCCTGCTACAAAGAATAGTACAGGAAGTGATTTGTCAAAGCTCCCTGCAGACACCGCTCTTATCTGAGAGGAAGATGTATGCCATCTAAGGGGAGTGGTACGCAGGAAGTGTCAGGGAGTATCTTACAGTATGCAATGCTGACCACAGTTTTAGTTAAATGTTTGAAAACTGGCCTGTTTGTGTGTTGCAAGATTTCAGAGTTTTCCTCGAAATAAGTAAAACGCAAGCAAGATACATCAAACATCAAGGTCTCGGTCATACCAAGTCTCATCTGTCCATGTCTGAAGATGAAAGCTGCAGTAGGTAACTTTTATTTAAAATAACTTTTTGTTATTTTTGCTGAAACTTTCACGATATCCTGACAGTAGTACACGAGACAGATAATCAGCGAAGTTCAGTTCCTCTGGCTCTTTCTAGAGCTCCTTATGGTATTTGCAAGAATCCACCAGGCCTGAATGAAAACAACCAATCAGAGCCAAGAAAAATAGAAAGATGCTAGACTAGACTGGACAGTTGATGTAGTTGGAAGCTTGAAGATAGCTGATTGTTGAGTCTCACTCAAGGGTCCCAAAGCTTCTGCGTTTGACGACCTGGGAAGGAGCCTCAACATTTTTTTTTTCGGCCCCAAGAGAGAAATACTGAAATTTCCCAACTTCTTTCTCAAAATACTAACTCCTTTTTTTCCACAAAGATCAATTTTAATCTGATTCTATAAAATTGTCTGCCATTACGGAGATGATCAATTTTACTTTTGATTAATGAAATAATTAATTTAGACAGACATTATGACTTATGTTCAGCTACAACTGATGTATCTGTCCTACAAAGAACACTTTCAGTCAACAAAGAAGCAGTGGTAGGAGTTTTTAGGAACAGTTTCACAGCGATCAAATAAATATGACGATTGGCCTGTACTGCTGCATCCATTTCATTCAAGCTTGTCGCGCTCTTTGGGCCACTTTGTTTTGCCATTAATTTTGATGGATCTATCTCAGTAGCTAGCTATATGTAGCAAAATGACATCCCCATTCTATATCTGGCTACACAAAGCTCTGCTTGGGTGATGTTTCCTCCAAAAAAACAGCCATCAGTGAGCAAAAAAGTTTTCAGTCACTTGACAAATCAGAGGTTTTGGTGGTGATTCAGTGGTCTTAAACCAGGCTATTATGGGATTGTTCTGTCATACATAGACTGCGTTTCTCTTATTATCTGGGATCTGTCTGTGCAGTCCTGATTAACAATATAATACCAGTACCTTTCTGATGATAATTTGTCCCTGCGATTTGCTTGCATTGTTGAGATGTTTGTAGGGGCGGTAGTCATTACAGAGGAGCTGCTGGTTTACAGTGTTGCAGGAGAATGCTGGAGCTGAGTGTTGGTGCTGTTGCAGACAGGTTTCTGTTGTGCAAAGGGGCAATAAAAGGCTTTATTAGACAGGCTTGAGTTCATTATAGACGCTGTGTTTCTCTCTGCCTGCTTGGCTTAGATAAACCTCGCTCTGACCAAGGCCACATCCCTCCCGCTGTCGCTGCAGGCCCTCACCGAATTGATTTCAGTAATAAAGTGACAGTCTTGCCGTAATATACGGATGGCCTTTAATTCAAGCCTGTTAGCGTGCCAAGGGGCGCTTGTTTCAGGCTTTATTTACACCCTTGCAGCGCTGCCTGGCATGCAGGGCTCCACGGTGAATCAGACCAGAAGATTTGGATAAAAGGTTTGAAATGCCAAAAGCTCTTAAAGTTGCTCAGGCAGTGTTTAAAGTACTCAACTGTGAACTTGTGTGGGATGCACTACTTTAGCTGCACTCAGACTTGTTGTCATCAAAAGGATTGCAACTGTTGAAATTAGAGTGTGTAAAAGTTTCATTTTCTTCACTTCCTCCACAGCCATAGGCCTACTCCTACTCAGCAAACTGTTTGCATTTGAAGTTCCTTTATGACCTCAGAGGATTCACTTCTGTTTATGTACATGTGACAGCTATGGGTTTAAGGATAGTGTTTGGATTTTGTCAGTACGGAGTGTTGAGACACATGTACGGAAATTGTTTGGATTTTTTATGGTTTGTACCGGCTAATATTAATTTTGATGTGGTTCTCCATTCAGAGGAAGATTACCTTTACAAGCTGCGCCATCAATCAGAAGCTCCGTTGCTTGACCTGTGAAAGACTGTAATTAAGTTAGCCTAATTAACTTAATGAAGTGTCACACTTGGCTGACTTTACTATATCAAGTAAATTGAAAGAAAAATAGGCATCATTACTCATCAGATGTTCTGGTATTTAGAGTGAAGTGGAGGGAATGCATTTTTCACCAACTCCTCATCCAGCGGGAGTGGAAAACGCTAACCTTTAGCCTGGTTTTATTCCCTCAGTGAGGCATTATTCATTAGCAGTCTGATTGGTTCAATCAGTATCATTGGTGCATTTATGGAATGAAGATAAATCCCTGAGTGTGATTTGAATTTGTTGGTCTCATTCTCTTATCTGTATTCGAGTTTAATCTTAATGCCGTAAGGACCACGCGATCAATAAGCCCAACAGTGAGGCGCTTAAAGCATGATAACCTCATCAATGATGGTTGTCTTTTAGATGTGGCTAAAGTTTAACCACTGTTTAATGTGATTTAAAGGCGAGCGGTGGCAGCTAAACAGGGGTGGCTAGCTAAAGCAGCCTGCAGGGAGCACAGGACATGGTCAAGGGTGGCCAGGCGGGACACCGAAGACAAAGAGAAAATCAATGGCTGGGAGTCACCTCAATCACTTTAACTAGGCGCTACAGACGCCCAATGCCCCTCTCAGGGGCCAATTTGTGGAGTAAACAGGAGTGTGTGATTGCTGCCGGGGTCCCCAGTGGCCCCAGCAGTCCATTTCTCTGGACCTGGTTCATTCTAATAACCCTCTTAGATAGAGTGTACATGAGGCCACTTTCCAGACCCCTCTCAGTATTTTATGGCCATAAACAGCATAGCAGACACTGAGCAGCAGCACTACCAGCCTTCGTTAAGATAACGTTCCCACAAGCCCCTGGCTCCTGCTGCGTGGGCAGAAAGCATGATATATTCTAATGGCATTCTGGGTAGGGACACAACTCCAATAAATATACATAATAAACTATAGTTTAACATTTCTTTTTATAAACCCACCTCAGTCAAACATAGGGGGGCATTGGATATACTTTGGCTTTAACTTGTGTTGAGGACACAGTGTAATCACTGTAATGCACAAACTTCAGGTTTACTAAACTTTGCGCATCCATGGGTTCAAAAACCATAGATAAGTCTAGTGTTGATAAAGCCTAACCCTTACTGAATGGAATTATGGTTCTATGATGATGCATGTTAACATAAAAGGGCATAACATGAAAACGAATGAGTGTAGGACTATTCAGTTCAGTTCATTTTTATTTGTATAGCGCCACTTCATAACAGAAGTTATCTCAGGACACTTTTCAAATAGAGCAGGTCTAGACCGAACTCCTTATAAAAAAATTTACAGAGACCCAACAGTTGCCACCACTAGTATCAAGAGACATGGGACTAGAGAGATGCTTTTTTTGTGTATACATTTCCGTCCCAAATGATCTTTGGCCAAGGGCAGACACTACCTTAACTCGACAACAGCCAAAAGCTTTAAATCTCTAGAGCAGCTCTAGACCAAATTCCTTATAACATTAATTACAGAGACCCAACAGTACCACCATGAGCAAGCACTTGGCGAGAAGGGCAAGGAAAAACTGCCTGTTAAAAGGCAGAAACCTAGGACAGATCCTCCGGCTCTAGGTGGGTGGTCGTCTGTCTCGACCAGTTGGGGTGAGAGAGAGAGAGAGAGAGAGAGAGAGAGAGAGAGAGAGAGAGAGAGAGACAGACAGACAGACAGACAGACAGACAGACAGACAGACAGACATTGATGCATGCTAGATGCTACTAAATCCTACACACTGGTCCTGTAACTTTCCCTACGTCTAATCATCTACAGCTGATGTTTGTCATTGTAACAGTTGGCAGCTAAAAATGCAAATTAGTAGTAATCATTTATATTGTGGCCACATAAGACTCCATCTAAGTACTACAAAATTTCCATTGAAAATACTTTAATGATAAGATTACTGAAATGTAACTTAAATTATTTTTAGTATTATTTTAATATTTTGTTCTATAACCTGCCTCGTTTATGAACATAGCGTGCATACATCCATGATTAGTTAGGAGCTAAAATGTGATGATCAGATAGTGAGTGCATGTCAGATGAATGGTTCAAATACACTTCAATTGTGGAACCAAACAGGAACTATTAGGAAGAGAAGTGTGGAATGGTGAATGGACCTGTACTTGTATAGCGCCATTCTAGTCTTCTGACCACTCAAAGCACTTTTACACTACGTGAGACATTGTGACCCTTTCACACACATTCACTCAGTGATGGCAAAGCCCATCAAACAGAAACTAACATTCATACACATTCACACACCGATGCACGGCATCGGGAGCAATTTGAGGTTTAGTATCTTGCTCGATACTTCGACATGTGGCACCAGGAGCCGGGGATTGAACCCACAACCTTGCGATTAAGGAACGACCCGCTCTGCCTCTGAGCCACAGCCTCCCAACAGGAGGACCCCTTTTCCACCAAATCAGCTCTGGTTCTTGAACTGGTTCTGTTCAGTATTCAACAACAGTCAACAATATATAATCTTATTGGAAATAAACCTGCCTCCTGAGTGAACTCTCTGTAGCTGAATAGGGTCGGCCTACGTCTGACATTTTCTCCTCGACATGTTGAGTGTTCCTAGGCTTTTTCAGAGATAAAGTAGAGATACACAATCAGTTTTCTAAGCACTCAAACCTATTTACGATTCCCTGCTTTATTCTAAATGCTTTAAACTGGAAACAGAGAGAGAAGCTCTACTTTTCCCGACCGTATATCCTCTTCCAGGATGCATGTGTAGTTACCTGACGATGCGATAAAAAGAAAAACCTGCTTGTGAATTTTACCTCTGATTAAATTAGGTGTTGCCTGGTAACTTCACCTCGGTATTAGTCATGCCTCACTAAAATGGAAATAAGTTTCTTAGGAAAAAAAGGACATTAAAGAATGCCCTTTGTAATAAATGAAATGGGAATTGCAAATATGCGCAGTCATGAAATTTAATTGTGCTCTCTGGTGACTGGTTTGTGGGTGCTGAGGAGCAGAGGTGCAGGAGAGGCGCTGGGGGCAGAGGTGGTTAAATGTAGCGCGTAACGCACTGCCTGAACAGGCTAATGAAGCCACTGTTTATGACCCGCTGCAATTGTGTCATCTCTTGAATGCCAACGCAATGCCAGTGTGCATGTGGAGCCGCGTCTGCGGCTCCAGGTGAATCCCCAGGATGTACATCTATCTTCCAAATGTAGTATTGTATTTAGCACATTTTAATGTCTTAATGTTGAGGCCACATACAGTACATACAGTGCAATACAACAATCTATAGCACAATAGTAAACAACATTAGAGGCACTTATAATAACTTTAGAATGTCAGTGTAAGAAAATATATAAATATAATATATTAATGAAAGCAATAAGAAAAATACAATGTAAGTAAATACAAAGGATAAAACAATGTTTTTTGCAAGTCGGTATAGTCCCTATAGTCAATGCAAGCTTATGTACTGAACACCAAAATGGCCAATATTAAATATATTTTTTGGGGGCTTTTATTATCATATGAAAACTAATTGACCACAGTGTATCGGCTAAGTTATAAATGCAATTGGAGGGATTGGTGGCTTTAAAGCTGCAGTAGGTAATTTTTCTAAAAAAATGTCTTGACATATTTCCTGAAACTTTAACTGTATCCTAACATCAGTACATATAATAATCTGTAAAACAAACAACAACAAGAAAGATAGTTGATTGTTGAGTCTCAAATATATGGGACCCTGGGAATGAGACTCAACAAACAACCACCTTCAAGCCAACCCAAAGCATCTGTCTATCTTTCTGAGCTCTGATTGGTTGTTTTCATTCAAGCACAGTGGATTCTTACAATGACCATTAAAAGCTCTAGCTAACAAGCCAGAGGAACCAGATTTTTTCACAGATTATCTGTCTTGTACTACTGTTAGAACACAGTTAAAATGTCAGCAATAATGACAAAAAGTTATTTTTATAAAAGTTACCTACTGCTGTTTGAACACATTTCTATAGTTGAATACATTATTGTATCATAAACTGTACATCAGCTGATCGCTGTGCAATACAGAGCATTTAGTCCTCACGTAAACGGCTGGTTACAGGTATATTCCCGACTCAGTCATACCATTTACGGATTTGCTTGTCCCACTACTTTGGTGTTACTTGACCCACTTTATCATGCTGCTTTGAGATATATTTCAATTTCAGGCTGCAGGACTCATCACTGCATATTGTAGACTCAGTAAACTGCAGTACTGGTATGTAAAAGGCCATTCTAGGCAGATTACCCATGTATATATACTCTAAATTTGTATTTGTAATACATACAATCTTAGATCTGACAATAGGCTTAAAGGTGCCACCGGTGAGTCTATTTTTTAATAGTCCTTGGTCTTGGAATGACCTGCATCAACCTTCCTCGTCTCCCTATCCAGTTTTACAAAAAACCAAAGTTTTTATTAGTGCTGTCAGTTAAACGCGTTATTAACGGTGTTAACGCAAACCCATAACGGCGTACAATTTTTTATTGCAAGATTAACGTTCTTTTTGGCCTAGCACACTTTGTAGTTTTTTTCACATGCTGTTGCAACAACTAGTAACGTTAGAAAAACTACAACACCACACCGGATCTAGCTAGACCGGAAACAAAACAACAGGCACGCCGCACACACTTGTTTAAGAGTAGTAGACATTACGTTTTGAGTGGATGGCGAGCGCGAGACGCCGAAATGGGTGCCAATAATATTCTGAATGGAAAGTTTACTTTTAAAAAGTTGCCAAATGGTTCCATTGACAAGACCAAAGTGATCTGTGTGTTTTGTCGTTGTGAACTGAGCTATAATCGCAGCACGTCCAGTCTGAAATACCACTTGATGGCCAAGCACACAGCTGATGCAAATTCTCCGCCCCCTCGACAAAGCCAGGCGACAATGGATGATGTTAGTGTGAAATTGAACACTACAGTATATGCCAATGTTGTTTTCAAAAAAAACATTTGCACAAAGCAAGCCGATCCACTTTTCCATGTTAATAAGAGCATTAAAATGAGAAAAAATTATGAGACAAAAAGAAATCAAGGGACATTTAGAATAGATAAAAATGTGCGATTAATTGCGAGTTAACTATGACATTAATGCGATTAATTGCGATTAAATATTTTAATCGTTTGACAGCACTAGTTTTTATTACAAAATGTTTTTGCTACAATGCATATAATTCATTTTGTCTTTCTGTGTTCATTTAGTCCCTGCTGTTGATGTGTTGATATTAGTTCTTATCCTGTACTGTTTGTAATGTACTTTGTATGAAAATTACATAATTATTTAAGTAAAACAAACTCATTTTTGTAAGTTAAAAAACATCCTTGATCAAGTAGCTTTTGTCATTTTAAGTGACAATTAATTTTGTAATTTTTATTTGTACTGTGAAAACAATCAGAAATGTTTCTTTAATTTACAGTTAAGTTAGTGCCCCTTAAAATTACTTGTAAAAGCCGCTACATGAAGAATCTTTTTAACTTACAAAATTGAGTTAATGTTGCTTAAAAATGTTGAGTTAATCATTACAGAGTATATCGTATGCCGTGCACCCGATGTAAAACATCTTGGTCAGGTCACCACTGAAAAGGAGATTTTATCTCAACTGGTTATAGTAATAAAAGTGCATAGCTGTGTGCATTACTGAGCATTTTGAAATATGAATCCAATTTGTACTGTATACATGACTGAGATATGAATTCAGCTGATGTGTATGGATTTGAGTTTTAAACAATAATTCAAAAACGAGCCCCTCTTGCACACACACATTGTGCAGTGTGTAAAACGCGCTCATAAATAAATAAATACAGTGAACGCAGAAAACATAACAAAACCAGTCACACTAATTAACTGCTAATTCTTTTGAGGACTGTATAGGCTTGATAAAGGAAGGCTTATTAAAGTACACGCTGTGTTGTACATTATGTTTCTTCTACAGTGTAAATTTTATCCTAGTTTATGAAGGTTGATTGCATTGTGTGTGTGTGTGTGTGTGCGTGCGTGCGTGCGTGCGTGCGTGCGTGCGTGCGTGCGTGCGTGCATTGTGTGCGTTCAGGGGTTGCAATTACTGATGCCAGCAGTCAGGATGTGAGACTGAGCATTGTGAGTGAGAGTTCGACTGGTCTTTGTTGCCACCTAGGGCCCAGCCTGAGCTCTCCTCTCCCTGCATCATGCGATAGAGACGACACTCCGCTCCTGCCCTTTAAAGCTCCGACCTCAACCAGAATGAAAAATGTGGCATTTCATTATCATATATGTATATGTTGGAGCCAGAGGGCCTGCCAGCCTATGGAAAGCAAACGGTGAAAAACAAAAACGCGGCCTCCTCCCCCCACTCATTTCCCCAGAGGGAATTGATGGAGATATCCCACAATGCCAGAGCCCGTCAGCTGCTGCAGGCTCGTCAGAGGGGGAGGGAAGGGGGGTGGACGTCTGGTTCTTCATTCTCCACAAAGCTAACGTCTTCTAGTGGGGGCCACTGATGCAAAACGCAGCTCCGTACCTGAACCTCTGTAGTCCACAGTGGGAGAACAGGAGGATGCTGCTTCCCCTCCGTCCTCCCTCTCTGGATCAGTGGCTGCAGCTAACGTGCTACAAATTTTAATACGGCAGCACACGTTTTCACAACACAGTTGTGTTCTGATGTTATCTTTTTATGTTGTCTAAAAGCAGGATTTAGACATGTTTATGTGATGGATTATGCATTTACTGTAGTGTTCACAGTTGAATTCAACATATTTTTTAAGTAAAAAATTCTATCTAAGTTTACACCTGTTCTCAGGTGGTTGTCTGCCAATATCTGTCTAACTGTATGAAATATTGCCAAAAGTATATATGAGGACTTCCTCCATGTCAGAGCAGTATATTTGTTTACAGCAATCAAGGCCATTTTAGTAAATTGCTTTTATCTTTATATCCCAGTAACCTTGCAAGGCAGCTGGACTATTTTTGAGTGTGAAGCAGAGTAATTTTAGTTTTGTATTTATTAGGTTTTAGGGCCTGAGCAGTGACCGCAATGTGCAAGGTGCCAGTACTTACCAATACTGAGTACTGGCACTTCTGATTTTGGTCCAAATAAGTACCCTTACTTTTGATTTAGTACTGCCAGCTCTGTTGAGCATGGCCAGACCAACCACTGAGGTCACCAAGGTATAGACCTCAGTATTTTTTTCCTTTTTTCCTTGCAAGTTTAGATTTTGGATCTGCATCTCCATGTAAACACAGCTAGCTTAACACTAAGAAAACAGCACTGAAAATGTCTGTTAAACAGGATAAAAAAAACAAAGAATTAGGGCTAGGATTTTGTTGTGTCTAGAGTTAGGGTTTTATTAGGTTATTAGGGTACTGGCAACTTGTTTGGTTCAATTTTCAATTCAATTCAATTCAATTCAATTCAATTTTATTTGTATAGCGCCAATTCATAACAGAAGTTATCTCAGGACACTTTTCAAATGGAGCAGGTCTAGACCGAACTCCTTATAACATTATTTACAGAGACCCAACAGTACCACCATGAGCAAGACCTTGGCGAGAAGGGCAAGGAAAAACTGCCTGTTAAAAGGCAGAAACCTAGGACAGATCCTTCGGCTCTAGGTGGGTGGTCGTCTGTCTCGACCAGTTGGGGTGAGAGAGAGAGAGAGAGAGAGACACAGAGAGCGAGAGACAGACAGACAGGTACACAGCAACAACAGTATTGGTAATAGCAATCTAGCAGGACCATTGCAGGAGGCTCCACCAGAATCGATAAGAACCTGCGAGACGAGAAAGCACAAGAACTCCGGGGAAGAAGTGAAGTTAGTAACATGCATTAATGGGACATGAATGAGTGCAGAAAGAGAGAGGAAGAGAGGAGCTCAGTGCACCATTGGAAATCCCCCGATAGTCTAGGCCTATAGCAGCATAACTAAGGGATGGTTCAGGACTCACCTGATCCAGCCCTAACTATAAGCTTTATCAAAGAGGAATGTCTTAAGCCTACTCTTGAATGTGGTGAGGGTGTCTGCCTCCCGAACCACAACTGGAAGCTGGTTCCACAGGAGAGGAGCTTGGTAACTGAAGGCTCTGGCTCCTGTTCTACTTTTAGAGACTATAGGAACCACAAGTAGCCCAGCATTCAGAGAACGTAGTGTTCTAGAGGGGTAATAGGGTACTATGAGCTCTTTAAGATATGAAGGGGCCTGACCATGAAGAGCTTTATAGGTGAGGAGGAGGATTTTAAATTCAATTCTACATTTTACAGGGAGCCAGTGCAGAGAAGCTAGTACAGGAGAGATGTGATCTCTTTTTCTAGTTCCTGTCAGTACTTGTGCTGCAGCGTTCTGAATTAATTGGAGAGTTTTAATGGACTTATTGGGGCAGCCTGATAATAAAGAGTTGCAGTAATCCAGCCTTGAAGTAACAAATGCATGGATTAGTTTTTCTGCATCTGTCTGTGACAGGATGTGTCTAATTTTTGTAATATTACGTAAATGAAAGAAGGCCGCCCTAGAGGTCTGCTTCATGTGGGAATTAAATGACAAATCCTGATCAAAGATAACTCCAAGATTCCTGACAGTGGTGCTAGAGGCCAAGGTAATGCTATCTAGAGTAACTATATCTTTAGACAGTGAGTCTCTGAGGTTTTTGGGGCCAAGTACAAGAATTTTTTCTGAGTTTAACATCAGAAAATTGCAGCTCATCCAGGATTTTATGTCCTTAAGACATGTTTGTAATTTAGATAATTGATTAATTTCATCGGGCTTGATTGATAGATACAACTGTGTATCATCTGCATAACAGGGAAAGTTAAAAGTTAAAAATTAGTTAGATTCCTAATAATTTTGCCTAAAGGGAGCATATATAAAGTAAATAGTATTGGTCCAAGTACAGAACCTTGTGGAACTCCATGACTAACTGTAGTATTTATTGAAGATTCATCATTAACATGTACAAACTGCGAAAGATCTGATAAATATGACTTAAAACAGCTTAGTGCAGTTCCTTTAATGCCAATTTGATGCTCAAGTCTCTGTAAAAGAATATTATGGTCGATGGTGTCAAATGCAGCACTAAGATCTAATAATACAAGTACAGAGACAAGTCCATTGTCTGAAGCAATCAAAAGGTCATTATTAACTTTAACCACAGCTGTCTCTGTGTTGTGATGAACTCTAAATCCTGACTGAAAATCCTCAAATAAACTATTGTTATGTAAAAAGTCACACAACTCTTTGGTGACTACTTTCTCCAGAATCTTAGAGAGGAAGGGGAGGTTAGAGATCGGTCTATAGTTGTCTAAAACCCCTGGGTCAAGAATGGGCTTTTTAAGAAGGGGTTTAATTCAGGCACAGATGCTACCCCTGCATAAGTCACTGACACTTGTGCCACCCCAATCAAAAAAGGTGGTCCCCACGTGCAGTACGAAGGCATTAATGACAAACATTCATTTTCAGTTTGACAGCCTCCAAATCACATACAAGGAGCTGGAAAAGTAGACCATAGTATCATCATATCATGAGTATAGACAAACTGGACAGAGCGACCTTAAATAAATAAAAAACTTTAATAACACATGTCTCACAAAATTAGTTTAGTTTGTATTAGTTCAGTTTATTTATTTATTTTTTGTCAAAATAGCAATTACAATGCAAAAACATTTACCAATTTTTTTCACACCTAGTTTTAGTTTTTAGTTCACTTTGTTAACTATAATAACCTTGGTGTGGATGTTACATAAATTGTAAATTGAGACAAACACAGACTTTTTGTATTGCTGATTCACAACAGGTCCCCAGACACTTCCTCCACGGCCTGAAAAGGGCAACTATAAGAAGCCACCACAAATGATGGGAATATAAAAAAAGGGAGAGGGCTTTGCATATTGGCCAATACCAAGAACTAATCTGATACGATAAGTACATTAACTGGCTAATGTTACGCTACCGGAAATTAACTCTTCTTCGTCACTCTGGAACAGTATTTGCCCGTGCCCACTGGTAGATGACCCACCCTGCTCTGACTCTCAGTGCTTGTTGCCTTTGTTGGTTTGGGTCTGAGTATATCACTGTAAGCCAGTCAGAGTCAGAGTAGAGTTCATGACTTTGCCATCTGGTGGAAAAAAATGGTGAACGCTTCTGGGGTGTAGCAGGGTCCTGTTTCAGAGCCAATAAATTACGTATCAGGGGCATTTCCGTTACTGGTATCGGTATGGACACAACTCTGGTAAATAGGGAACAATATGTCACAATATGTTGTGTTTACAGCTTGTTCTGATGCCCCAGAGTGGCCAAGAAGTCAATGAACGTGGCTTTAAATAATGCTCCACTTCTCAAAAAGGTGTAGATCATCGTTTAATTGCAGCGCAGATATTTCAGGGCAGCTCAATAATGCTATGACACTCCTTTACAGAATTATAATGACTGACTGTCTGATACAGGCTCTCCTCAAACAGCTCGTAAGATACTCCCCAGGTGATGTGTGCATTTCAAATATGATTAACAGCTTGTCTTCACCATCTCTCTGACGCTTTAAATTGCACGCCGCACAGGCAATTTCTGTAGACTCACTCCATAAGCCTGACTATAAGGGCAGATAAATGAGGAGTGGGCCCTAACGGAAGGCAATTTTAAGCTGTAGTATCACTTCCAGCACGGCATTTCACTGAAACTCAAAGAAACATGAAAACAGATGGAGATTCTCTCCCCGCTGCCGTCCTCCTACCCAGACCGGAGGAGGAGGCTCTGCGGGCACACAGACAGCAGGATAATACCAGCAACAGTGAAGGCGTGGAGCGCTGACACCCGTCTGCTTCCCCTCAGGCAGGCACAGGAGTGATAGGTGGCTGAGAGGTTGGAGTGGGGAGGATAAAGAGCACACAAGAAATTCTGTGAAGGCCCTGAGAGGCCAGGAGGACTGGTGTCACCCCTCACACAGTAAATCAGTGGAAGAGGAGGCATGGGAGGCACATTTCTGGCTTTATGAGATAGTTAGCATGCGCTGGCCCCTCCTCCCCTCTTGTTTCCCATTTAAGAGCTGACTGGCCCTCCGATAACGGATGGCGCCACAGGTAATTGGAAAATTGGCAGGCTTGTCAGGGAGATTTGGTGGATGGCACGAATGTATACGATGGCGGAGTTCATGAGGTGTCACCCCACAGCTAGATTTATATCAGACCTATGGACCGGCACCAGAAAGTATCCAGAGTTCAGGAAAAAGTAGCACATTTTTCTCCAGGGGAGACTGCATATCAAGACTGCTCCAGAGACACCGACAAGGTTCCTGTTAGTAAAGAGATGATACATGGGCCATCCTTTGCATTAACCCTAACCTTAATTTACTGTTTCTACACACGCCTTAACAACTGCTACAAATAGCCCCGCACATCCTCCACTCTGATTTATTTACGCTGAAACCAAGGAAATGCATGAGCTCATCTTCATCCCAGGTTATGTGACAGTTTAAATTTCAATCTGTATTATGTATTGTCATGTCCAACATGTGTTTTTACAAAAGCCTTGAATGAGATATTGCACAGGAATCTTCATTTCATCAGTACAGACTCTCTGGTGATTTAAAGAAAGTCGTCCACAGTTTGCTCATCACAGCGCATTAGCACAGGATAAGGGGGTCTGTGGGGGCCACAGCCCTCTGCAGTCAAGTTTAAACTAGGGATCGACTAATATGGCTTTTGCAGGGCCAATACAGATGTTGATTATTAGTAATCAAGGAAACCAATAGCCGATATTTCAGACCGATATATGTTTGCACTAAAAATTTTATTAGCAATGCGCAGTCAGGGCATTTCTACATTTATTTACGAATAATTGTGGGAGAGGAAAATAAGCTCGTGCAGAATCAGGCGTACCTACGGCTTTATAAATCTGACGAGCAGAATGCATATTTCTTTCAGTTTTGGTGGTGAATCTGAGTTGTATGCATCTGGTCCCTGGACTCATTAAACTTTCTTAACAGTTTAAAATGAAGAGCTATTGTTATACATTTGCAGATATTTACAACCCTAAAAAACATGAACATAAACATCTATGTGCTTATTGCATGACAGTCTAATATGAAATGAGCCAGCCAATGGAATTTCCCCATGCAATCTATTGTTAAAAGATGTATTCTGAAGCTCGTCTTTTCAAAGACAAAGAGATTTTTAATTAGCAATGCGCAGTCAGGACACACTGGAGTATTAACAGCTTCCCTGTGGATCGGCCTAACAAGACAACAATCACTCACAGTATGGGTTTTGTTTTTTGGATGCAGTTTTGAACATTTTTATGTTGGTGTGGACCAAACTGTGCGAGGATGAGTCTGTTGAAAAAAGTTTACAATATCTGTACATTGATGTGAGAACACAACAGTGAAAGCAGGCTTGATTGACAGAGAATTAGAACCTCACTAATATGTGCTCTCAGCTAGCTGGAGGGATGTGGATTCATGAGGTGCTGCGGGCTGCAGATCCTAACCCGGTGATCACACATTCTGGTGTGTAGATGTGTTCATTAACCTCTGGAGGGGGGATAATTGTATCTGTCAGAGTCGTTTAATCACCGCTGCAGCTCTCACCACTGTCACTTTCACTTTGTCTGCTTTACTAAATCAGCTGGCTCCTTGGTTGGCCCACCATGACTCCTGCTCTCTGTGTGTCACTTTCTTTTTGTCGGCTTTAAAACTCACATACACATTTGTTTTGTCATTTACAGAAAAGTGTATGTAACAACACTGGTTTAAATTTAAGGTGAGCAATACAGGTACAGCTACGGTTTTCTGTTCATGATTCATCTTTAAATAACATGCAGTGGGTCCAACACCATCTGCCTGATTAATGAAACTTAAAGCTGCAGTCAGTAATTTTTTTTTTTTAGTAGAACATGAGACAGATAATTTGTGAAAAAATCAGGTTCCTCTGTCTCCCCTTACTGCTCCTAATGGTATTTGCAAAATTCCACCGGAAACAGGCATGTTTCTACAGTAGCCCAGAAGGGACAAACCAAACACTGGTTCTAGATAAGGCATTTTACGATGCCACTAAATCCTACACACTGGACCTTTAGGCACGAATGAGCCAGAGCTATATGAGGTAAACTGAGAGTGTGTTGTCGACTGATGAAGGGTCAGTTTATTTTTTGTTCATTGCTA